TCAATAAATGAAAGAAACAATTGCATTAATTCAACTTAACCTTGGAATCCATAATGAAATTACAGTGAAATAGCCCTAGAAACTTAGCCCTCTATGAATGGAGTGAAACACATGAGGAAATAAAAGTGAGAGGAGTGGTGGATGTTTGCTTTTAATGGAGGAGTTTGGGAATGAATGAGTTGTGTCTCCCCTGAGTCTCTTTATGTAGGCTTCGACTCTGAATCTTTTTTTATAAGATCTTTTATCTTATATCTAATATCTTTCAAATATTCAACAGATTTAATCAATTTTTGAGAATATTTGATAATATCTTTTCTAGATTCAAAAGATTTGGCAAATATTATCTTTTGATTTTTATTGATATAGTTAAATAAGGTAATTATTTAACAATATCAAATAAAAATATCTTAAGATATATTTTCTTCAAATTATCTTTTAAAATAAACTTGCCCAAAATTACATTTCAACCCTTTTTATTTTATTTAAAATTACACAGAAGTCCAAAATTTTCATCTAATTGCACTTTAGTCATTTCTTTCTTTTCAAAATTGCATAGGAGCCTTGAGTTGACCAAATTGGACTAGCTTTGACCATTAAATTTCTTGTTTTAAATGAATAAAATTCTAACTTCACCTGCACAAACAAACATTAGAACATCCAAAATAATTTATGCAACTAAGAATCACATTTTAAGCATCTTTAATTCTCAAACCCAATAAATTCAATCGTCACAAATTCATTTTAAATCAATCATTTAAGCACAAGAATCTCATCAAACATTTGAATTTTAAAACATAAATAAGGGAATAAATATGCACTCATCAACTACCCAAAGGGTCAAGGTAAAGACCTCCTGCCGTTCTCTCTACCACCTCATTCACTCAACAAGAGTTGAATGGTTGGTAGAATATCAAGATACCTTATCTTCAAAGTCTCACTATCAAACATTCACCACAATTGACTTGAACATAGAATCTCTCTTTGAGATTCTTCACACATCACCCATCTTTCATTCTCACAACATACTCATCATCACCATATTCATCAACCATAAACCGATACATAAACATGTTCCCAAACCATAAATATACGTATACACATCTCCATTAATCACCTCATAACAATCATCATTATTACATATTCAAAGTATTTCAAATATAAAATCATTTTTATATTCTGGAAATCACAACCACACTATAACATAATTTTCTTCATATTAGCTCGATACACACACTAGGCAACAAAAACAACTTGGAAACTCTCACTAACAGCTCTAAAAGGGTCCAAAACCCTTAAAATGACCTAAAAACACATCCAAAACTAATGCTTAGAATCCCAAATTTGAGATTCACAACAACTTAGTTCTTGACAGACAACTCGTATCACCAGACAACTCGTACCATGTTGATGGATTGACAAGTGTACCAAATCGCACAAGTAATATAAAATGGTAAGATCAAGTATCATATCCCAGAGGACTCTCGGCACTATACAGTTGTGTGATAACTTGATTAATTAAACCTTAAATAAAACGAGGTCATTAGTTTAAGATGCAAAGACAGAAAATTAAATATGAATGCAAATTGATCAATAGTAGAGTGGCACAAAGATGAACGAATATTGTTTAATATGTGTCAATACCAAATTTCATCCGGATTGATTTTTTGGCTTTTACTGTAGTCTATTTTCCTATTTTTATTTTTTATTTTTACTATTTTACTTTATTTTTGCTTTTTATCCTTTTTTTATTTTATTTTTATTGATTTATTTATTTTATGACTTTTTTTATTTTATGTTTTATTCTATTCTTATTTATATATTATATTATTTTTATCTTTATTTTTATTTTTATTTCTCACTTTACTTATTCTTTTTCTTTTCTTCTCTTTTTATTTTTATTATTATTATTATTATTTTATTTTATTTTATTTTTGTTTTTCTAGTTTTATCCCTTTATATTTTATTTTGTTCTAATACAATATAACTAGAAAGAAAAACAAATAAAAGAAAAAAAAGGCATTTTGTCTTTTAGTAAAAAATAAAAAAAAAATATTCAACAGATTTAATCAATTTTTGAGAATATTTGATAATCATCTTTTCTAGATCAAAAGATTTGGCAAATATTATCTTTTTGATTTTTATTGATATAGTTAAATAAGGTAATTATTTCACCAATACAAATAAAAATATCTTAAGATATTTTTCTTCCAAATTATCTTTAAAATAAACTTGCCCAAAATTACATTTCAACCCTTTTTATTTTATTTAAAATTACACAGAAGTCCAAAATTTTCATCTAATTGCACTTTAGTCATTTCTTTCTTTTCAAAATTGCATAGGAGCCTTGAGTTGACCAAATTGGACTAGCTTTGACCATTAAATTTCTTGTTTTAAATGAATAAAATTCTAACTTCACCTGCACAAACAAACATTAGAACATCCAAAATATTTATGCAACTAAGAATCACATTTTAAGCATCTTTAATTCTCAAACCCAATAAATTCAATCGTCACAAATTCATTTTAAATCAATCATTTAAGCACAAGAATCTCATCAAACATTTGAATTTTAAAACATAAATAAGGGAATAAATATGCACTCATCAACTACCCAAAGGGTCAAGGTAAAGACCTCCTGCCGTTCTCTCTACCACCTCATTCACTCAACAAGAGTTGAATGGTTGGTAGAATATCAAGATACCTTATCTTCAAAGTCTCACTATCAAACATTCACCACAATTGACTTGAACATAGAATCTCTCTTTGAGATTCTTCACACATCACCCATCTTTCATTCTCACAACATACTCATCATCACCATATTCATCAACCATAAACCGATACATAAACATGTTCCCAAACCATAAATATACGTATACACATCTCCATTAATCACCTCATAACAATCATCATTATTACATATTCAAAGTATTTCAAATATAAAATCCATTTTATATTCTGGAAATCACAACCACACTATAACATATTTTCTTCATATTAGCTCGATACAACACACTAGGAACGAAAACAACTTGGAACCTCTCACTAACAGCTCTAAAAGGGTCCAAACCCTTAAAATGACCTAAAAACACATCCAAAACTAATGCTTAGAATCCCAAATTTGAGATTCACAACAACTTAGTTCTTGACAGACAACTCGTATCACCAGACAACTCGTACCATGTTGATGGATTGACAAGTGTACCAAATCGCACAAGTAATATAAAATGGTAAGATCAAGTATCATATCCCAGAGGACTCTCGGCACTATACAGTTGTGTGATAACTTGATTAATTAAACCTTAAATAAAACGAGGTCATTAGTTTAAGATGCAAAGACAGAAAATTAAATATGAATGCAAATTGATCAATAGTAGAGTGGCACAAAGATGAACGAATATTGTTTAATATGTGTCAATACCAAATTTCATCCGGATTGATTTTTTCTTTTACTGCCTATCTATTTTCCTATTTTTATTTTTTATTTTTACTATTTTACTTTATTTTTGTTTTTATCCTTTTTTTATTTTTATTTTTATTGATTTATTTATTTATGACTTTTTTTATTTTATGTTTTATTCTATTCTTATTTATATATTATATTATTTTTATTTTATTTTTATTTTTATTTTCTACTTACTTATTCTTTTTCTTTTCTTCTCTTTTATTTTTATTATTATTATTATTTTTTATTTTTTTATTTTTGTTTTTCTAGTTTTATCCCTTTATATTTTATTTTGTTCTAAACAATATAACTAGAAAGAAAAACAAATAAAGAAAAAAAAAGGCTTTTGTCTTTTAGTAAAAAATAAAAAAAAAGGAAAAAAGGAAGGTGTTGGCTGGGCAGTGTACGTATGTGTGCTGGAGGGGGAGAGCAGAAAACGGTTTTCTGCGAGTGGCTGGTGAGGGCAGAAACGTTTTGGAGGATACGATTGCAAAGAGGCGTTGGGAGCGTACGAAATCAGTACAAGAATTTGGCATACAGAGAATGGAAAATTAAAAAAAGCAGAGAGGGAGCAGAGAGGGGCTGTTATTTTCGGAGACGAAAAAAAAGCAAGAACTGGGGGAGGCTTCTTCACTTGAAGCATTGTCCACTGCTGAGGAGGAAGATACCATTTCACACGAGGAAGAAGAGGAGGAAGCCAGTCAAAGGAAGGTCGAACCCATCTGAGCACGTGTTAACAAAGAAGAACCAAGCTTCAAGAGGTAAACAACCTTACACATCTGTCATCATGTTTTTCAGTGAGTTGTTTGTTGGCATTTTATATCCTCTCTCGGTTTCTCATTCTGAAGATTATTCGCTATTTAATG